TTCCAGAAAAGTTGAATAGTCAATGAACACACACACGTATATACGCACAATATACTCTTCACTAAGATTTGCTAATTGTTTTCACTTGAATTTGCCCAACATTTTGCCACATTTCGTTTCTCTCTCTCTCTGTATATATAAATTTTTTGACTGAATTATTAAAATTTGCAGACATCAAAACACTTCACTCCTAAATATATCAGCATACATCTCTTTCATACCATTATCTCCCACAATACCAATATCACATCTAATGGAATTATAATATCATATCATATATAGCCTGTATTTAAATTTCCCTAATTGTCCCCCAAATGTCTTTATAGCTGGCCAGTTGTTTTGTACAATCCAGACTACTTGTCTTGTATAATTGCCTCACATTCTGGCTTTTTGATCGCATGCGCATGAGTAGATTCAAAATACAGAAAGAAAACTTCTGAACTACCTAGGTGATACTGTGTACTTCTCATTGCATCACACCAGGAAATGCATAATGTCAGTTTGTCCCACTACTGATAATGATATGTCTGATCCCTTGGTTAAGATGGTGACCACTAGACCTCTTCATTGTAGAAGTACCTCTTCCTCTCTTTAATTAGTAAGTAATCTGTAGGGTGATATTTTGGGTCCATGTGAATTTTTTTTTTTCCGGTATCCTTTCAGTCAGTGGCTTTAGCATTTACCAATGACCCTAGCCTGAACTGATGATTACACTGGGAGTTGGAAAACAATGATTTGCTGCTTCTGTCATTCCTTATACTTTTGTTAAGTGGTATTCTATAAAAGAAGCACTTTTCTTTTCTCCTTGCCCCCCCACTTTGAGTAAGTGTGTGTGTGTGTACACTTTTAAATATATATGCATACATGCTGAATGGGTTATAAGACATTGTCATTATTCTTTTTGATGTTCAGATTGTCCCAGGTTTGGCCAGTGAGAGCCCCTTAAATCTGGCTTCTGTGTCTTTTGGAGCACTTCCTTATTTTCTGGCACAGGATGATGTTCTAGGCTCATCTTGTACTTGCCTTACACCTAGAATCAGCCATTTATCTAAAGAACTCTGTTTCTCTTACTGGGAAATGGAATTTAGAAACCAAGATCTGGGTGTTAGGGGCCCCCCATCACTCCTGGGTTCCATTGCTTCTATGCTTTTTCAGGGGACAGAACTAAAATAATTTTCGTTTTTAAAGATCATGAGTTTATATCAATGTGTCCAATTCAAACTTCTATGTTTTAGATTTCTTCTGAAATTTGGATTATTTAAAATATAAAACATTTACATGGTTCAAAATTCAACCACATAAAAACTTATACCAAGAGAAGCCTTACTCTCATCCCTGTGCCTCTCACCCTACTCCCACTCATCCCTTAATAGATAACTATTTTTATTATTTCTGTTTTATCCTTGCTGTGTTTACGTTTGCAAAATGAAGTCTGTTTTCCTTGATTCTTATACACCTACTCCTCACTTATCGACTACCTCATTATCGGACATTTCACATTTACAACGATAGTAAAAGATCTACTATCCGACTATTTTACACATTAACAACATGCAGTGACATATGTCGAGGCATGAGGCGAGAGTAACGTAGGCTGTGATGGTTAAGGTTATGTGTCAGCTTGGCTGGGCCATGATTCTCAGTGATCTTGCAGTTATGTAATGATATAATTTGGCAGTTATGTAATGATGTGGTCATCCTCCATTTTGTAATCTGATGTGGTCATCCTCCATTTTTGCATAACACCAATTTTCACGTAACAACCTGGTCTTTGGAACCTAACCATGTTGATAAGTGAGGAGTGGGTGTATATATATTTTTTCATGTTTCTGTTTCTTACATCAAAGC